GTAAAGGTGGTATAACTCTGCAGGTTCCTGTCTGGAAAAACAAGGGTGAGGAATGAAAAAATTTTCTCAGAGTAAAGCATCTCTCAGCAAATGCAGAGGAGTGAAGGAGCAGTATAAAAACATTGCCTTTGGTGACTTTATTTCCATTGCAGACAGGCTACATAACATTTAAAAACACAGAAGATGAAAGAATCCTGGCATCATTTTAACGGATTTGAGCAAGGAACAAGAGCAGGAAGGAGGTGTTTCAGTGGGTCTGGTTTTGTTTTTCCTAAGAAATCAGATGATAATGCAGAATGACTCTGGCAATGAATGATGAAGTTAGACTTGTCTAAGTCAAACATCACAGAATCACAGAATAGTAGGAGTTGGAAAGGACCTCAAAAGATCATCCAGTCCAACCTCCCTGCCAGAGCAGGATCACCCAGACCAGGTCACACAGGAACGTGTCCAGGTGGTTTTGAATGTCTCCAGAGAAGGAGACTCCACAACCTCTCTGGGCAGCCTGTTCCAGTGCTCTGTAACCCTCACAGTAAAGAAGTTTTTCCTCATGTTCAGGTTGAACCTCCTATGCTCCTGCTTGCACCCATTGCCCCTTTTCCTGTCATTGGCTGTCACTGAGAAGAGCCTGGGTCCTTCCTCCTGACACTCACCCTTTACAAATGTATAAACATGAATGAGGTCACCCCTCAGTCTCCTCCTCTCCAAGCTAAAGAGACCCAGCTCCCTCAGCCGCTTGTTTAAAAATCCAGCTTATCTAAACAAGGTTTTCCTATTGCTGAAATAAGCAATGCATCTATTTCAGATAGGCCCTCTGGATCTGGAGGACTTCAGAGTGAGAACAATTAATACCAAACCACACTTGTGTTCAAAAAAAAAAATGGGAAAAAATTATCACACGAAAGTTAATGCCTGAGCTGTGGAACCTGGTGATTTCTCTAGTTCTTAGGCCTGAATGCACACCTCAGCCATGACCACAAGTTAGGAACTTGGGAAACAGCTGAGTCTTCTTTTAACAATATAGCTCATGATGATACCAAACATAAGATCATTCACGTAATTATGTCACTATTTGATGTGTATAAAAATACCAAAATCTGTTTCCTTACAAGTTGAACAATACTTAAGACATTGCGTTTTTTGAGATTTTTCGATTTCAGAACCATGCATAAAGTCAACAAAGGCTTGTGAAATCTCTGTTCGCTCCATTTATTCTGATTTGAACTTTTGCTGGGTTTTTTTTTCCTCCCTTGTTTATAATGCCCTTTTGCAAGTACAAAAATATTTTTCTTCCCCCTACTAATTTTGACTTTTTTCCACTTAGGAATCATTGATTCACCCTTATTTTTTGTACAGCTGCCATTCAAATTCTGTTAAATAACTTCTAGTGCCACACTATCTTTCTTTGTTCCACTGCACCATGGACTGCTGTCAACACAGTCATGGTAAAAGAGTATTTGATTAATTAATTTCTGGCATAGAAACTGGAGGAGGAGCACAAGTGTATGCATTTTCGTATGTGGAAAACAAAGCATTGTTTATTTTTTTTTTCTTTTGTCACAGAATCATAGAATTTATAAACTATTTAGGAATGCAGCTGGCTTGGGGGATTGCTGATGTCCCATACGATCTTTTTCCAGTAGATTTTTGGTTATAATTTGATCCAGATTATGATTATCTAAAGACTTTCTGTGGCATATGCAAAATCACTTGATTGACACAGTCCCGTTCCTAGTCGGCTCCAGTCCACACCACGAAAGAACAGTCCTAAGTATCACAGTTGGCACTCTTTGTGGAAAAGGCAAGGATTCACTGCCTAAATTTTCTCTCACTAAAGTCAGAGGTAAATGTTATTTTCAATTTCAGTGGAGCATAAGCAAGAAATGATTTAGCATTAATGCCTTCCTTCACTATTGAAAAGTTTATCCTCTTCAAGGACACCATGACGAAGCATCAACTGTTGCTGGCACTGTGGTATTTTGGAGTGCCATACTTTGGTTTGGTGACTGTGGCACCTTTTGAGCAAACAGTCCTAATAGCCATGTCCAAAAAACAACTGGAGCAGGAGCCAGAAACCCCAAGGACTGCAAAGGAAAGGACTGCTGTTGTCTGTGTGTTACATGCCTTGGTGTTTTCAGAAAGTCTATTTGCTTTGATGCATTGGATGCAGGGGTTCCACTCAGGTCCAAAACCGCATTCAGCCATATAACCCATTCAGGAACTGGAGTGACAGAAAACAGCTCTGTGCACTGATTTAATGGAGCTGATTATCTCTGCCCTCCTTCCAGGACTCTTCCTCCAATGTATCCTCTGTCCTTTTTTTTATTCCTTATTTGCACCGTCCCAAACTGCCCTTTATACAGAACAATGAGGAGTTGGCTGTATATACCACAGTAATGATGTCAAAGAATAATAACAATTAGCACTTCATTTAGCATCATAACTATAACACAAAGATGCCTAGCCAGCAGTATCTCAGGCACATGGGGAAACTGGTCACATAGAAAAGAATTTAATGACCTGGCCAGCCATGAAGTAAGCTGTTGAAAACAGCAATCAAAATTTTTTTAATTTGCAGAACTAGGTCCATTCACCAAACTATTCTGTCTCACCACGACTAGCATTTATAGAAAAAAATTATCATATATAATTTATAATGATACTACCCATGAAACCTACTATGCTTTTATGTCAATTCATTTTGTATCCTCTTTTTTTGACTTTGCATATTATGAGGGAAAATTGAGTGGAGCTTTTAAGATCCCCTAGACAGAACTCTCTGACATTTCTTTCCTGGTCTCACCGAATGACTGCATGATCTTGCCTCGGGAACACCAGTGGACCTGCATATTTCCTAGACCCCCACAATCAGGCTGTAGCTATATCTTGTAATTCTTTCTGCATGACATCATTAACATTTGGCTTTTTGTGTTAATCCACAAACTCTTGGGCAGACATTCATCATTTTGGTCTCAACTATTGTAATGAACTTTTCTTCAGTTTGAGGAAGATTGTCCAAATTTCATCTATTCAGAGTGCTGTCGCAAAGGCCATTTGCCCAGCTTGTAGCCTCAGCTGTATTGTTTCTCTCTGAAATCTTCTGCTTTTCTCTTCTTTAATCCCATCAAAGGAAAAGCAACTTCTCTTCAGCTTTAAGGACCCACCTCCTCTGTCATTTGATGTGAGCGTCTGCTGGCTTTGGCAAAGGAGTGCAAGGCTCGAGTGAACGTCTCATTGTGCAGGAGGTGCGTTAGTGTTTTCGAGGTGAGCATTTAGAGCATTTAGTCTAAATATTACAGAGACTACTCAGGAATAAAAACAATTCCTTATGCAAGTGGTGATCGGGTGGAAACCATAGGCAAAACACGTGTGCCTCATTTCCAAAAAAAGTACTAAAACCATTTAAGGAATATCTAGAAAGGATTACAAGTTGCTTATTTGTTTCTAGGCTTGGCCAATCATTCTTGGTTTGTGTCAGAGCTGTGGCTCAGCCTGGCCTGGTTCAGCCCGGCAGGCTTCGCTGAGGGCACTCCATTAAATCATTAAGGTTGGAAAAGACCTCTCAGATCATTAAGTCCAACCATCAACCCAACACCACCATGCCCACTAAACCACGTCCACATCTACACGTTGATTGAACACCTCCAGGGATGGCGACTCCACCAT